GCCATTTGAAACGATTATCGAATCGCATCACAGTGAATGTTTCTTTCGGTTTTGAGCTTGATATTTTGATTTGAATACGATTCAAGAAAACTGTCTTCTGTTTTCTTTGAACCGCGACTTTGTGTTTTCTTCGGAAATGTTTATAAGAAGCCCAGGTTTGAAGGTGGCAGGGAAAAACGCTTTCGATTCTCCCGCCATTTTGCCTCTCCGGTATAAAAGTCACGACGGGGACAGCAATGCCTCAAGTGATAAATAGATTACATGGACGCGTCTCGAATAATTTCGAGCGGAACGCTGGCCTTTCGGTATAAACGTGTAGCTGGAAATGGATCCTGGACTCCACTTTATCTGTATCTCGATCTGTTCTCCTACATCGGACGTGGATCCTCATTTATTCACCGTGATTCTTGTTAAATCAGTTTCTTTCGTTTAAATGGAGTTCTAGTAATTGTCCGCGGGTAGTTTACGATAATTTCTACGGCTATACTTTGAATTCTTTAATCTTTTAAATTTCTTATGTGAATCTGGATATTTGTTTATTGATGAGTCCATCGTTAACTATTTTAAAGTATTTAAATATTTTCAGCACAAAAGTTTGAAGTATCTACATTCTTTTAGCAGAAAATGTGGAAGTATTACAAAAGTTTTAGCAGAAATTTTGGAATATTTAAAAATCTGTAACAATTTGAAAATTATGAAGTTGTGGCAACAAAAAACATTGTTGGATATTTAGTAACAGCTTGATGTATTGATATTTCGAAAATTTAAAGATTGTTATCATTGAAAAATGAATCTCTGTTTTTCCAGTCTTATATTATAGGAATTCTTCAATTAGTTTATTCATTCCTGTATAGAAAATATCTTCCGCAACACTTCGCGAAACCTTCCAGAGACTTCATTCTTCGAGTTCGAGGAGAGTCATCCAACTTTCCGCGCAATCCCCAATCAACAATGCAATTTACGGATAATGCAAACAGGATTTAAAGCAGGGACAAGTATCATAAAAAAGAGATGAACAATGAATATTTTCCCGTATTCTTGGGAACAGGAAAAGTGGCCGGGAACTTTCCGCCAACAGTGTAATTCTCAATGGTAGATAGATGAAGTTTTCAGTGCAACAGCGGACGCCATTTTTATTCTCGAAGCAATGCGACGTTGTCGTTTTATGTCTCTTTTTATTCCGCATTACCGTGCATAAAAATTGCAGCACCCGGTGTAACATGAATCAACGAAGAACAAACAATTCTTCACCCATATGAATATACATTAAATACATCCAGGACATTAAACATTAATTAAAAACCTGATTCAGAATGGCTGCGTTCTCGTTATTTTATCACGTACACCAACAGATAACAAGACTAAAATAATGCACTATATTTCATCCAATTTCAAGCGTGGCCCCTAGAAAAACAAACAATACTTTATTTCAATAACATTTGTACTTGTTTCACAAACACCCGTCGCTATTGAAATTCTAAACAAACTCTAAAAACCATTCGCAAACACGTTCCACATTGAATAAGATGAAATTAACACAAATTACTGGAATTCATTCAACTAGAAGATAATGGTCTAACTTCCTAAATCGTTAAATAACAAAACATGAACATGTCACGATATCATTCAGCAAAACAGAGGTCGAAAGAGTAACAACGCAACTCAATTAGACATTTATGTTACATTTCCCAAATACCACGTATTTCTCTTCGCATAACCAGCATTCAACCTGTTAACAGCTCGATAATCCAACCAGCTCTCGATCCCCGAGCCAAGTAACACAGCAGTGCGCTCGATTCATTTCATGCAATCGCGGCGTGTCACAATTTTTATGTAAAAGCGATATCGTCTCGGCGAATCAATGGGACGCGAGACGTCCCCCCTATTTTCCGTCTCGCCGGCCGGAACATCATTATTTAAATCGAAATTGTGGATGCATTACGTTTCCTCCGAACCGTATATATTCATCCCGGTGCAACGCGAACTGTCTACGCGAAGCATGCCCAGGAACTTCTTAATCCTTGCCCTCCATCTGTGTCGGGTTCCGTTGGGTATCGGTCCCGACGCGTGGATATTGATACGGGAATGCGGAGTTCTCGCCGCGGCGCAACGAAAGATCGAAGAAAGCCTTTCCACGTTATGATATGTGGCCCCAACCTACTTGAATTTCGACTTGACTCCTGGATCATCGGTTATCCGCATATAAATTATACCGGTGACTGCGCTACCCGCAATACCTATGATAAATAAATAGATCAGCGTTGCGAGACGCGGCCCCTTTTCCCTTTTTCCTTTGATCCATGGCTACCACAGAGGATATGCTAGAATAAGTTGTCGATCCGCGGGTAGAAAAATATTCAAGAAGCGCGACTCGCGACATGCAAAACACTTTTTCGCGTTGTTATCAGTGATAATTCGTTTCGAACGAGTATCTTTGATATTAAACCACCGAGAAGTTCAATTGACTGTTTGAAATTCCTCTATAGAAACTCCAATAGTGCCTATCGAGACTTTAATTGGTTTACAACTCAGTTTGCGTATTGCTAAACGAATTTCTTTGATCATTTCTCAGAGAAACATCTATTACCTTTTTCATGGTTGTAAGAAGGAGAAACCTGGAATGGGTCATTTTGACCCGTCTGATAGTTTTAGTGTTAACTATCATATTTATCATTAATATTTCGAGTTTCTTGTCAACCGAGTTTTGAAGGTATAGCTGTGTTTTGCATGGATTTGGAAGTTAATGTTTTCGGTGATGTATTGGGCAAAAATTGTCTTGGATCTGTGAGATGCGAGATATTTAACCCTTTGCAATCGAAAGTCTGGTACTAGGAATATTCGACAATTTCTGGTGCGACGAGGAGGACGTTTTTTGAGAGTAACTTGAGAGAAAGAAACGTAGATTATAATACGTAAGGCTTTGTAATTTTTCTATGTCAAATTAAGTGGTGACTGAATGAAAATGATTAGAATAGCAATCGTTCTGGAAAATATACATCTCATGGTTTCCATCTTTTTAGAACTAGGAGTTTATAATAGATATTTCTATATTGCTAATATTAGTATTAGCAACTAATCATTCGACAAGTGACAATGTGACAGTCAGCGTCTTAAACTGTTTCCTCAGAGTTCGATAATAAACAGATCAACTTCGCAATATACAAATCCTCTGTCCTATTTCTCTCCTCGAAAGCTACCAAGCGAAACATTCCAAAATAAATGACCAATCCGCGAGAAAATGAATCTTCATGATACCATTACTCGCGACACGTGCAACCCTTCCCCGTGTTATTATCGACGATGCCTCAATTCGAGCGAACACGGGGCTCGTTAGAATGCTCTTTTTCTGGAGCAGGAAAAATCTGTCCCATCTAACACCTCTAGAGTATCAATTCTATCGACGTTGCCCTTCCCCTTTCTGTTTTTGCCATCGTCAAGGAACGAAATTTTCTTGCGCGTTAACGTTGACCCGGATCAGCAAGATTTCCTACGGGCTATTATGCATTCACGCGTGAATCGCGAGGCGGCGACACTTTGTGATGGATGAGAGGGGCCAGCTCTCCCGCCGCGAATTATCTGTTTCGAGAGATGGCTGGTGACCTAAGACGTCCGACGGTTTTCCAATGATTTACGAACGTGTTTTATACGGCGCTGCGTCTGGTCTTAATCCAGACCCCTCTCAACGGGTTGATTTATTCCCGCTTAATGGGAGGGATGAAAATTTACCGGCTGGAAAGCGAGACGGGACGGGATAGGATCGATTACATGCTCGCCAAGCTAAGTGTCGCGATCAAAGCTTCAATGGCTGGATCAATATTAACTCGAGACATTAATAACCGCATAAGTAGCGGGAGGAGATAAATTCTTTAAAGTCTAGACGGTGAAGAAACTTACGGCCATCGACATTCACGACGCATTTGGTTCAATTATTCTAATGATAGGTTGCCGGGTTTGTTAACTAGTCGACTGTAGGATTTGCTACCGAAAATCTCGTAGTATGGGTAATCAAGTTAATAAATGATGAACATGTACTTTGAACATAGGATAGTGTGTATAATATATATTAAATAAAAATCTGAAGCAATATGAAAGTACGTGTTTATTTGAAAAAATATATGATTGTTGGGAAAGTTAATATTTGGGTTTTAAAGTAGTTTTATTCTATGTTATTAGGAGATTCCAGTGAAAGACATAACGTTGTATTTTATCGGTAATCGAGTAGTAAAGAGTTGAAATTCTTAAAGTGGCTAGCTTCGAATCACAGGTGACTCTATCAGGAGACACAGTAATTACAATATTTCTTTTCCGCTGCGACCAGCGAAAAGGTACGCGGCGAAATTACTCCGAATCTCCGGAGACCATTCAAGAATCTAATATAAGTTCTAATCAGATCAAAAGAAGGGAATGCTGGTAATTGCTTTCTCGCATGTTAACAAAGGAGCGCTAAGTGCGTCGCGTTAAAACGTAATTGCACCGAATTACCATACAATAAAGTAACCGTTATTTTATTGAAAGCGAATTCCAGCGCCGGTAAGTCGGCAGGAGAAAGATTAATCGCTTCGTAATTCCGATCGCGAGCAGTCCCGAATGTTGCCTGCAAAACCGTGACCCGGATAAAGACCAATCCCGCGAGCGGCCCTTATTAAAACGTTCCGCGACGCGAGTAGGGGAAACTGATTGCAGCTAGGAAGGCGTGAGTTATTCGGAGGGCTACGGTTGCGGAACACGGAATGTCTCGGGCATAAGTCTGCGGTTATCTTCGAATCGGTCAGCAGGAACTCGCGTCCTTCCTACCGGCAAGGCGCAACCCGAGTAATTGCAGCGATCAATTAACGCGCGATTAACAGCACTCAACGAGCGACTGGGCCAGCGAGCAAACAAGCTAGCAAGCGAGCGAGCTGGCTGGCTCATTAACAGCACGCGAGCCATGCATGCGCCTAAACAAAAAGGTATTTCTGTTTCCCTCTATCCCCCGAAACGGCGACGCTAACACGCTTCAGTGTATCAAGATGTCCACGTGATGATCTGGATCGGATTCGGCTTCCTGATGACGTTCCTCAAGAGGTACGGCCAGAGCGCCATTGGCCTGACGTTCCTGGTAGGCGCAATCCTGGTGCAGGTCGCTCTAGTTTGCGAGGGAGTGATGGAGATCGAGAGGGACAACAAGGCTCATCTGTCTTTGGAAAGGTTTGTTGACAATTTTCTTTTATGGTATTCTTTCTTTTGAGATCTTTAGAATGAGAATGGCGATTGGGAATTTTTGGGTATGTTTTAGGGTGAACAGGAAATGGGGATTATTTCGTGAGAGTACAATTTGTTGATTGGATGCATTTATGAGTTGAATTTGTAATTACGGATTCATGATTGAATTCATGATAACTGAGGATGAAGACTAATGAAGTAGACATTTTTTATTGTTCTATGCGATTATGATGTCTTGTTTCCGGTTGTTTCGCGTGATGCCAAAAATGCGCACAATTGATTGCGGGGATACATAAACTACAGTGGTACAAGAGAACTTATTAAAGAAGTTGCAACACGATGCAAGCAGAGTTCCCGCGAAATTTTAATTCAGAGCTTCGGCATGAAGTTTGCCAATTACGCTGGTCGGTTAAACAACATCCAGCCGGGGCACGTGCGGGGTAATTAAAAATTTTTATGTTAACATGTACTAAATCGCGGCTTCGAATTTCGTTAAATTTCATTAAAAGCTGGAATTAAAGTGTCCGTTCACGGCGCGCGAGGTCCGGGAAATAATTATACATTCCGGCCGGAATAATCGTCGTGGGAAGTAATCGAAAGTTATCGAAAGCTATTTTCCCCAGCGGTCGTATTCAATCGGAGGGATCTTTCAACCGAGATCCGACGAAAGCGAAAGTAATTACTTCCCGCAGCTAATTATATCATTGCATTCACAATGGGAATTTTCCGAGGGGTTGAAAACCCTAGAGTTCAACCAGATTTCTGTCGGAATTAGCGCGAAATTAGCGCCGTAAGCACACTAATTAAAACGTATAATATTCATGGGTCACGCTTCCTGAACACAGGATTAACTTTTCGTTCCAAAAAATCCTCTTGTTTATCGCGCGCTTCTTAGATCAAGACCACAAGAACTGTTCCCCGTGATTTTGTACTTTTTAGTGACCGCAGGGTGAACACAAAATATGTAAATTAAGTAGTTTCGTTCATAAATCTTGAATTATTCAAAATGTTCTTCCGTGCTTCTTTCAGCGACTGTAAAAAGAATTACAAAGTACTCAATATTGCAGGTTTATTCATAAATCTGGTCTTATTTTTATTATTCATTACAATTGTAACATTTTACGACATTTCGACAACTGCAAAAAGAAGTACAAGGTACTGAAAATTGCCGTTTCATTCATAAATATTGAATGATCCTAAGCGTTTCACTACAATATTTTGCCAACCGCAAAAAGAGCAACAAAGTACCCAAACTTGCAGTTTCATTCATAAGTTTCGAACTATCTTATTTATTTCGCTAGAATATGTTGCCAAGCGCAAAAAGAAAAACAAAGTACTCAAAATTACAATTTCGTTCGTAAGTTTCGAATCATCCCACGCATTTCACTTCAATATTTCACCGACCACAAAAAGAAGCGTAAAATACCGAAACTCATACTTCGATTCATAAATCTCGAGTTATTCCTCGTATTATTCCACAAAGAGTACACTACAAGACATTTCATAAATCTCTAAAAAAATCTGACCCCAATCTTTCCACTCGAAGATAAGAGACCTCCCGTTCCTTTGTCCGCGTAACTTCCTTCGCTGCTTTAATTCACCGAACCGTTCTAAAGTTTTCGAAGAAAATTTCGCTGGACGCGCGTGTGTATCGAGAACTAGTAAATTCCCGCGATCCGGGCAATATACAGATCAGGTCCCGATTGGCTGAAAAGTCCGAAGATATTTTTGCAGGGCACGGATGCAAAATGCATCCAGTCTACGGATGCGCCGGTTGAATACAAAAGCCGCGCTTGTAAGATTGTGTGTTCGGTCTCGCGCATGAATAGTTAACAATGGAGGTGTGGCGAGCGGGTATTTCGTCCTGCGAGTTTTCCCTCTTTTCCATGGAAATTGCAACTCCGGCTGGACCGAGAAGAAAATGACAATTTAATAAAATGACGCGCGGCTTGAAAATCGAACGCGTGGGGATGACGCGTATTCGATTCGGGTGAACGGTTAATCGCGTGTCTCTGTCAGCGTTTGGAGTGTCTGTATTCATTAGAGAGATATTTTACTAAATATCTACGCATTGGTTCTGAAAACATTTGGAAAATATTAATATAGCATTTTATTTAGAGGGTCAATATAGCTTTCTTTTCTACAGTCACTTTTTCAACCCTTCGTAAAATCCTCATATCACACAGATCTTCCAATGTCTTAGCAGTGAAAATACAAATTTGAAACTACTCATTAATCAATGCAACAATTACAAAATTAACAATTTTCAATATAACCAAGTTAAAATGCATTATAATTCCACAATGTTCAATATAACCAAGTTGAAATATATTATAATTCCATAATTTATCATTTCCCAAAAACGAATACTTCGATCTTTAAAGCTCCATTCAATTAAAAAAATTCAATTTTCTTTTCAGACAAAAATTAATTATCTCTTATCTTTCTAATACTATCTTATTAAATGATATCTAAAACTACTGCAATCATCCACATGCCAATAATCAAAGACGAAAGACCGAAACCTGTCGCAGTTAATACCCAATCCCGGATCTCTATAATTAAATGATCACATGGAAACACGCGAATCCCCGAATGAAGATTAATCAACGTTACAACTTCCATGGTATCCCAATCCTTAATCGACGACACGATCCAGCGACAATTACCCGAGGATCCGTTACCATCGATAACGTTATGGTTGCGACTCACTCGAAAGCAAAATATGTAATTCCTGTCCACGGAGCGGAAACTAATCTGGCCTCTTCCATCCTTCCGTGATGCGACCTGTTTGCGTACCGACCCATCCCCGATATATTCATACGGATGTTATGAATACTGATCTCCGGTTCCGAGGATCCGCCCCCGCGCCGGTTAACCCCTTGCCTTAGAATAACGCATTCAATTCGTGGAGATTTTGACACTAGATTTACGGAACGAGCCAATTCGACCACATTGACTTTTATGAACAGTATTTGATGAATGTTTGAATCGATTGTGATTGATGCAGATAGGTAAACATGCATCCTAAGTGTCTGCTTTTAACCCTTCGCACTCGAGTAGTGACCCTCAGTCACCGTTTAATTTGATATAACAAAATTAAGGAGTGTTATATATAAAGTTTACTTCAAGGATATTGTTTCTATGTACTCTACATATTTTCCATTTATAGAGAGATTTTGAAAATCCATGAATACTTTTGCATTATTCTTCTCTACTCTTGTAAATTCAAATTAAGTATTACTCTTCCATTATCAATTAATATATAAACCGGACGTAAACATAGAATACAGCCAAAATTTGTCTCTTTCCTTCAACAAGAAAAGGCCTGATCAAGATTGACGCAAGTTGGACGAGTATTCAAAAAGCGAATTCCACAAAGAACACGAAGTATTTTAACCCTTTGCAATCGAGAACCCTAACATTCGATATTTAACATTAAACTTTCTATGATGCAACAATATATAAAATATTGAAATAAGATAACACTGTTCCTCAATATACGTATCATTTCTTCAAATTAATTTCAACGAACATCGTCTTTATCTCACCAGAAAATGTGAAAATAATTCTACTAAAAATCTTCCCTGCGCAAAGGGTTATTCGCGTTAGAGGGTGTTCTACTGTACACAGTTGTATCGATCATAGTCAAGGAATAAATCGTAAGGCAAGGGGTTAATAACAGGCGTATCGATTCATCTTGCCTGCGAACCACTTTCAGCCTCCTGAGCGCGGACGTTGCAGTGGCCGCGCCGTTGATATCCATGGGCGCCCTCCTCGGTAAGACGACCTACATACAGCTCGTGTTCATGGGTATCCTCGAGCTGATCATGTTCACCGTGAACAAGTACGTCGGCAACCATATACTCATGGTAAGTTTACCCTTTCTCGCCCATTGACCGGCCACCATTTAGGTGTGTGCTCGGTTCTCGCCGGAGAAAGCGAGCCGACCGACCCAGCCATACTCTCACGACGATCCCCAGCCCGAAAACCGGCTGTTTACGGAATTCGCCCGGGATCTTTTACTACCCTCCGCCGGTTATTGCCGCGAACGTGAGGCTATCTTCAAAGCGTGGACAGTCTGACCGTTGGCTCGATCACGGATATTGCTCGGTCTTTTTAGATTCTTTGGATGGCACTCGGTGGCGGCTCGTGAGAATTTGCGGCGGGGCTGCAGCGATAAAATTAAAGTCTGTATTCCGTAGTATTGAGGTGTGTGTAAATAGGTATGCGAATGCAGCTCCAGGGTTTAGTGTGTTTATTAATTATTGTTATTCCTATATTAGTTTATGTACGTAGTATTTATGTGATGCAAGGTGTGGCAGATTTTAGGTGAATTTAAGTAAATTTATTGGTGAAATAGACATTTTTTATGTTTTATTTTTCATTCTGGAGGGGTTGGGGAGAGTTGATGGTAGAATTTTGGTTTTGGCCTGTTTGATAGAAGTTTGGTGAATTTGGAGTGTGTTTATTGTTCAGTTATTTAACTCTTTGCACTCGGGAGGTGACTTTCATCACTTGATTTGATATAGTGAAGTTATAAGCTGTACGTGAAATATTGGAATGAAATAGCTCTGTTTCTTGATTTATGTAAGTTTTCTTATTGATTGGTTTCAAAGAACGTCACCTATATCTTATCGGAAAATATTGAATATTTCTAGTGGAAAATTGTCGAGTGCGAAGGGTTAAAAGATAGAATGTTTTGTTTGGAAGTAATTTGACTTTAAAGTCAGCATGCAGTGGATGGACTCAGGGAATTTTGACAATCGATTTTAGGAAGGGACGGTGTAATATTTATTTTCAATTTATATTATATCTCTTATATCCTCTACAGTACTTACAAGATCGAAATTTTTAAAACTATTCAAATATTTACACTTGCTGTGACTCTTTCGCAAACCGAAAATCATCAACGCGTCACCAAATCAGACAACATCCGTTTTCACGAAATAAAACGAGTTTCTTCTATTGAAAAAGTCACCGACACATATCACACATTCCTTACAATTTTTATTATTCAAATTTCCAGTCCATTCCACGTAATACCCTCGGCGTTTAACAATACCCAGGCCGCGGCGGTTCACCCCCCGAACGTATTATTATTATTCTAAATGAACCCGCCGACCCGGATTTCTTCGAGCAACGCGCGAAACGTGATTCACGGGGATAGATCCAAGGGAACAAAGGGAGGAACGAACAATTATCGAGTCGACTGTCCACGCCGGCCGAAGAAAGGAGTAAAAAGAGCGAGCGAAAAACGGAGGGGGTAGCGGGAGAATTTGTTCTGCGCTTTAGGACGGCTCGCTATTGTCTTCCCCGATGGCGAGAATCGATTTACAGGTGGAACGACGCGGTTTCCGGCACAGACGAAATGAAAACTTTCCGTCTTGTTGTTCCGATAGGCGGTCGACGCCGGTGACAGTATGTTCGTCCACGCTTTCGGCGCGTACTTCGGACTAGCGGTCAGCTTCGTGATGGGGATGAAGGAGAAGCCGAAGGAACACCACCTCGAAGGGCCGTCCTATAATTCGGACATCTTCGCGATGATCGGTTTGTTTAACTCTAATTAGCATTGCTAAAGTTATCAACACTTTGCAGACGGGAGACTGTGATCACAGTCGGGGAAAGAACAAACTTTAGATAAGGAGACTGTAATCTCAGTACAATTATGTATAATAACTGGATTCGCTCGCTAAACATTTAATCCTCCGCCAGTATGATTTTTCACCAACATAGCCAGTAATACGAACTTTTTATGATCAGTCTTGATCTTTTACTGTTGAGAATTTTGTGGAAATCTGAAAGGATTTTGAGATAGTTATTATAAATCCTAATTTAATGTACAATACGTTAACCGAATTTTCGTTTCATTTTGCGATAAACATTGAAAATCCTGTTGAAGTGATGAAGAGATAATTTCCACAGTCCCTCAGTGGTCCATATTGCCGGCGGAGGTTTAAAAATGTGAAAAATTGCGTCCGCCTTTAAAGTGTTAATATCCTGTTGACCGGTAGTTTTGCTCGGAAACTTTTCTGCGCAGTCCGCCATTATTCTGCAAACGAATGTGAAATGAAACATTTTTCGACTTCGATACACATGCTGTATTTACGTATATGTTAGGTCGAGTTCATCAACTACAAATTCATTTCAGATTTAGATATTTGTATACCATTTTTAAAATGCGGTTAGCTAAACACACGTAGTAGTGAATGTTTCTAAAATTAGACAAATGTATAATTTTCTTTGGTAAATACAAGGTAAATTTTTTTCAGCATAGATAGACATTTGATATTAAAATGATTTAACGATTTTATCTGATGAATATGATCTAGAACATGTTCGAAACGTCTCATATTGTTCGAATGGCTCGGAAACACGAGTGAACTCGTGACCGTTCAGCAGCATTGGGTCACGAAAACGCGATTGTACGCGTGACCGGTCACCGGAGAGTTTATTATCTTAAATCCTCTACTTTTAGTTCAACGCGTAAACAGTGAATATTACATAGTTTCTATTTCCGAGATAATAACTCGCAGGTGTTACTTCCCAGCGGACGCAGGTGCGGGTATGTTACTCGCGAAAGTTACTGTCGCGTGGAGCACGTAGCAGCGCGAGTAAATGTATAATACTTTAACCTGCGTTAATATTTAGAAATACCTGTTTTTCTGTTTTCACTTTAAAATATTGAATCGCCGACAGAAATTTATTCAATTTAGTAAGGGTTACAGAGGATTCCGGGGGAAATAAATAGTCGAGTAAATTGCGTTGAAGTTCCGACTATCCCGGTTGCAGAGTATCGAGAACATTATTAATGTGTGAATTCCGCGGGGTATTTATAGGTATTAATAACAGTGTATAATATTGATTTCACGGATTAATTTGGTACAACTTGACGCAGTGTTAGATGGTAACACGAGTATTAATTTTATTCTACCGTAATGATTGCATAAGCTCTAATTTCTTTATATTTCGATTAAACAGAGAAATGAAATATCGTATTACCTCGACCCCTGAACTTGTGATTCATTTCGCGATCAATTTCGCTGAGGTATTTTATTTTTCAATAACTACTCAATAAAACAAGAGATTAAATTATAAACTCTCTTAATAGCACAAAATAATATTCCTCTTAAATTCAATTCATCTCGTTTATGAATTCACTATAATTATCACTTAATGCAATTCAAGAACAAAACGCTGTTTCCCTTATACCGAATTCATTCAATTGATTACCTCATCATAATTATCACACCATTAAACTCAAATCAAATTCTTCCCTCCTCGATATATTCCCATAATACTAGTCGAATCATTTCCTCGATTCTTCTCTATTATTCCACGGGCAATTTCGCCAATTAATTCCAAAACCAGAAATGTCCCTATTAATGGCAACGTATGCCACTGTTTGAAGAGGAAATAGCAATAGTTTGTTTGCGACAGGCACGGTGTTCCTGTGGCTCTTCTGGCCGTCATTTAACAGCGCGAGCCAGCAAGGAGACGACCAACAGAGGGCCATTATAAACACCCTCCTCTCGATCTCGGCCAGCTGCGTGATCGCGTTCGCTGCTTCGGCCCTGGTCTCGAAGGACAGCAAATTCAACATGGTCCATATACAGAACTCGACCCTCGCCGGTGGTGTGGCCATCGGCACCGCGGCAGGTACGACGCGGTATTAATTAATTGGGCCGGGGGTCCGTGGCAGACGTGGCAAGGCAGCTAAATGGTACGTCATTTTCTGTATAAACACAGGCATGATGTGCGAACCAGTGGGCGCCTTGGTCGTGGGATCGTTGGCAGGACTGCTCAGCGTGCTTGGATACAAATACCTCACGGTAACCCATCTCCTCTGTCTATTTTATTGCGTGCTTCGCGTTAAACACATTTAATTGGTTCGATTGACCTGCGCGTGTTAAATTATATCGTGTTCTGCAGTATTTTGATAGGCTCCCCGTCCTTTATTGATGCGTGGATTCTATCTTATTTTTTATATTTAGTGTATGTATAGAATGATTTTGAAGATGATTAGTGGATCGAGAATTTATGATGATCGTAGAAATATTTATAAATTTTCTAGAATAGTTTCTTCGCAGTTTGAGGAATTCCTATTTTCCATAAAGATGGAACTGTACAGAAATTAATTTGACCGTGATTCGAGGTTCTACAGAATGATTTAATTGTCGGATGGTAATGAGGAAATTTTAGAATCGCGAAACAACGGTTCTAATGAGCGGAACACGATCCGAATCGCCGCAAACGCAGCACAGGCGATAAAACAAACGCAAACGAAATGTTAATTTCGTCGTAATCTATCGCCAATGGTAATGGTTATTCGAACAATGCGCTTTGCAGCGGTTGGCCCGTGGAACCACCAACCGTGAACAAAACTCGATAGAAATTCTATTGTCCACTATTAAAGTGAAACTTGATCAGCCATTTCTGTAATCCTTTGATCTCATTACGAAACGCTGGCAACGTTTGCCCAAACGAGAGGACGCTCCATGCAAAACGTACCGCTTCCACGGTAACGGGAAAAATTACCGTGCACTACTTACTGTTACAAGATCATTTTACATCTAGCCCAAGAAATTCGACTGATTCATTTTTTTCATTTTTCTCACTCAATTTCCTATTTTCTAATTTCTAATATTTTCGATTGAAAATTTACTATTCCTCAATACGTTTACAAGTAACCAATCAAAATTATAAAACCATAAACCAAGACACCTCCTGCCCCTATTATTCCTTTAAACATCAAGTCATCTTCCAATAGTACCTATCTAGCCTCAGTGTTCCCGTTCCGTTATCAAATATCTATTAACCTTTAAATATGTGGGATTTCTAAAATTAAGCGTATTGCGGTGATTAAGTACTTTATTTAGTCGGTTACAATGCTCTTTCTCTTTCTTAAATCGGGCTCTTTAAAACTGAAACTCTCCTGACTTGTTCCGTTTCTTTTATTTTGGTCAGTCCTCACGCATACATTCGTTCACACACGCAGGGGTTATGGCACTAACATTCTATCACACTCATTTTCTAACGCTTTCTCCCTCACTCAGCCTTGAGGTCGGTCACCTGTCCTTTTGTTGATATCCTGAATATGCGACACTCGCCGTTGCTGTCGCCGAATCACCAATTTACAAAAACATGAGACAGGCAAAAAGAGAGGGCACGCAAAAACGCATAACTGCTGTTTATAAGTTTAACCGCCGATCGCTCCTAACAGTCGCGATTGCCGTTTAAAATTATTTTACTCCTACAAATATGTGCGTGATTTTATTTTTATATTGCCATGGACATGTGGTCTCGCAAACCTCTATATAAAATACCCTGAACTTTGAAACCAGTGAAATTTTCTATGTATAATGTAATAGTGTGTATAATAAACATAAATACTGCTACACAGAGCTATTTAACACAGATATTACATCGTCGTTAGCATGATTAAAACTAAAGCCACTGACAACGACAGCCCCGCGGAGGCACCAGGGATCGGGAAAACAGAAACCGATACAACACCGCGGTCTGTCAGACCGCACGTCCATATTTAACCCATCTGCATATTCGCTCTACATATGAAGCTTACTGTATACGTCGGAGACGCTCAACTGAAAGTCTTCCAAGCTTTCGATTGCAATTAATCTGCTCCGACCGATATAGCCGAGTAACACGTAAACAACTAAATGTAATTGTCTGCAGAATATTTCGCTGTTGCTGATAAGTAACAGTTGTGTGCGGATTGTTCCGTTTAACACTAACCATACCGGAAATCGGCCAAATGACCGGATTTAAAATTCTGCGTTTCCTTTTGTGCATTTGATTTTATATCAATTCGTATATTGTTCAATTAATTAGTTTTTCAAATTTTCCTTCCTCTTGTTTGTCTCCACTAAGAGAACTTTATCATCTAATTTGTTCATCTTCATTTTGTAGCCAGTTATTTCACTAATTACGATAGGAACAGTGTCGATACGTTAGTGTTAATCCTTTGCACTCCGAATTTGTTTTATATTTTTTCCTCGACAACTCTTATTACGATATTTTATTTGAAATGTATTTTAAAAAATAGATAGCTTGTAGAGAACAGTGTAAACGATTCTTCTTACTAATATCGAAAATAACATAATAATGTAATTTACTTTAAAAATATCTTAACAAAGCACACCTGTGAATAAAATGATGTAGGAGCGTAAAGGGTTAATGGTGCAAATGGGTTGAAGGTTAAGATGTCACAGAATTTCATTCACGCGCGATTCATAATCGTTCGCCGTGCGTCGACGTCCCGTCGTGTACGGTCGTCGCGGTCGTTCCATCGACGGAACCTACTTACTTTCCCGGGAAATTTATATTCCACGTGGCGCGGCGTCGTGAAGTTCCGCCGGCACTTTGGTAGCGTAAAAATTTCAGGCAACGCGGGATAGATCACAGGACTCGTCAACACGCGCGCCCGGTTATGCGCTCTACATGATTACTGAGGCCGGATATACCGTTCACGCTGTCCTCAAATATTCCGGTTCGGTCGCAGGAATTACATTGTCAATTTCCCGGGGACTCTTGTAACCGTACCACCGACGAAGCTTCCTTCGTCCGTGCTGCCGTGTCACTGGCAAAATGAAGGGAACATGCAGCGAGAGCTTCTCGCTTGAGATCTTGGGGCCGAGCAAGTGTTGAGAGAGTAGTAGCTTTATTGGAGGCAGATATTTTATGTTCTACAAATTATGATACCACATAAAGGTACTGGTAACGGAAGTTCGTTTTTATGTTGGGGGAAGTGTATATAGTCTGTCGTTTGGAAGCTTCGCATAATTTTATGTGGAAAGATCATTTTTATACAATGTTTTCTTTTTAAAGATTGCCAGTGAAAATATGTGGTGGGATATTCGTTATCGAAATGGAGATATTCTTTTGGCATTACTAGTACAGAATCGTGTAAAATATTTAAGTCGTGATATTGTCTATTGCATAGACGAAAGAATATCTATATTGAATTCATTAATTTCATTTTCGAAAATAACCACACAACCAAATATCACGCATTAC